ACACTGAACTGCAACTCAATTTATAACATTTGTCTCATGTGTTTTTTCTTGATTTTTGGTTGATATTCTGTCTCTATCATTTAAAATACAGCTATGATCAAAATTATAGACCCTCCATTACCTTGTAAGTGGACAAACTTACAAAATCTGCAGGGGATCAAATCATTATTTTCCCCACTATAAGTATACCATAGTTTGTAGATTCTATAACCACAGTCTTAATAATTTACACCTATGTGTTTGTTTGTTCACCAAAGAAATGTAGCAAAATACATTTTTACCTAAATTTATGAAGAAAAAAATTTTTTCTTTTGTAACAGAAACTAAGAATTTTTGTTTTCGGCATTTTTCCTTTATGTAGAAAAAAAACCCCAGTGGTGATTAAACACCACCAAAAAATGTTCTGCCTCTGACTGTGTAAGGACTCATTTACATTTGTTTCAACTTTAACACACACTAAAAGCACCTACCTCTTTTTTATGTGTTTTTGATGCTTCAGTGATGCTTCAGTGATGTTTCAACGATGCTTCAGTGATGCTTTTTGTAGCTTTAATAAAGCTTGGTAAATACCCTGTGTGTGTGCTGATTTTCAATTTGTTTTAAATGGGCCCAGTAGAACCCCAGCTCAGTAGTGCCCCCACTCAGCAGATCCCCAGCTCATTAGTACCCCTGTTCAGCAGATCCCCAGCTCATTTATACCCATGTGCAGCAGATCCCCAGCTCATTTGTACCCATCTGCAGCAGATCCCCAGCCTATTAGTACCCTTGTTCAGCAGATCCCCAGCTCAGTAGTAACCCCCAGCTCTACTAATCCTCTGGTTTGCTTATCCTCCTCTCACCTTGGTCCCCGCTCATTTCCCACTCTATTGCTCCCATGCTGCTCTCCATGTGTGATGACTGCTGGTTTCTCCTACTCCAGTCCCCCAGCTCTGACCCTACTCACCTTCCTGCTGCTCCACGCTGCACACCAGATGTGATGTCTGCATCAGACACTCACAGAATATATACACATGAACCGGAAGTGACTGCTGATGGTGTTTGTCCAGTTTGCAAGTTGGTTTAGCAGTGCATCCTTGGATATCTCATACCTATAAAACAAAGTGAAGCTAAAGCTTAATAAAAGCCTCTCAAAAGCTGCAGGTATTGTAGGAGAGTGTTGTCATAGACTTCTATGGAGGCTTTAGAGACTCTTTGAAGCACCAAGAAAGGAACATGAGTTTAGCACTTAGAAGTTGCTGAATTATTTTCCGGTTCCCTGTGGTTCTGGACCCATCTCTGAAAGACATCACAGTACACTCTTAACCAGAATAAATCACCACCAGAAAATAAACTTGCACACAGATTGGAATAAACTGGTTCGAGGTTTACAGCAAATTTCAATGTGGCTTGAATATACAGTATGAATAGAATTGGCACGTGCAAAGTCAGATGTTACTTTTGTCAACCTTAAACAAAAAGAAGCAACATTTATCACAGAGTCTCAATCAGTGCTAGAAGTCCTGCTTCTCAGAAACTAACCAGATACCTTCAACCTGAGGTGACTTTACAGTTCCCAGTGAGCAACAAGAACTATCAAATGGTAGACTAGCTCACTTCGGGCCCTCGGGACATGATGGAAGGGTTGCAGCCTGAAATAAAAAGAGCTCTTTACCACCAAAGTAACCAATGTTCCTTTAAGTGCAGTGGAGAGTTTTCTGCATGCTTGATGGGGCCCAGTTGGTGCACAATGAGAAGAAATGTAAATGATAGTTCTCTGAAGAACAATGTGATAAAGAACAGAATTTGACTTATGCGATGCCCCTTTAAAACGCTAGTCACTAGCAGATTTAAGGCAATAAAAGCTTAAAAGTGGCAGAAGTGATTGTTGGCAAAGGGCAACTCCCCTCTAGACTGCAAGGACTATTGTCAAAGTAGAAAAATGTTTCTTTTTAAGAATAAATGGATGATTTTGGTGACACAGCTGTGGTTCGGCCTGCAAAATGGGTTCCTTGTGATCAGCTCTGATGATAAGACTGCTGTAAATGTAGCCAAACAATAGCGGCTGGAAAAACTAGGCCACAACTTGTAATAACTATGTGCGGTGTGCAGGAAGATGACAGATGTGGCGCAAATGTCAGTATTCTCTTTCCTAGGTAATGTTTGAGACTCTCTCACTCGAGGGATAGCATCCGGTGAATCCTGGAAAACTTTCTCTCTCTCCAGATGGGGCCCAAAGGAACTCTGCGGTCTCAACTGCAGCGGTCCATCAGGTCACCTGCAGGGAGTTTAGTTCTCTGGACAATGCAGCAAGGCTAGCGATCAACAGATTCTCCTTGCCTCCCTTCTCCCTGTGGCCTGGTTCGGTCTTCCGGCAGTCAGCACACTCCTGCTCTCCAGATCTCTCCCCTCTTACTTCCTGTCCAATATCCCGGGCTTTGATATATACTGTATATGGCCCTGCCCACACGCCAGCTCCTCTAGGAAATGTAGTTTTTAAATGCACTGCTCCTTAGTAAGGTCCTGCGATTCAGCATACAAGTCCCATGGGGCTGGATGCATCCTGCATCAAACACTTGCAGCAGGGTGCTACATGGGGTAATTTTTGAAGTGAAGTGAAGCAAAGCAAGCAAACACAATGTGTAAACAGGACTTTAAGCTTGCCATTTTATTTAGTGAAAGGGTCTTTATGTGGCTTTCAGAGTGCTTCAAAAAAGCATGTCAAATGTCACATTTTGAAGCAAGCGTAAACGAGTCCTAACTATATTAGTTCTTGGTTTTGATATTTCAGTGGATTCAATATTATTGTTATTATTATTATACAGGATTTATATAGCGCCAGCATTTTACGCAGCGCTTTACAATATAAGGGGAGCAGTACAATTACAATACAATTAAATACAGAAGGAATTGAAGGGCACTGCTTTTGAAGCTTACAATCTAAAGGGAGGTGGAGGTGGTAACAAAGGTAATAGCTGCAGGGGTTGATCTGATGAAGGTGACTCAAGTACAGTTCTTAGTTGGAGGTGGGGTACGCTTCCCTGAATAAATGCGTTTTCAAGAATCGTCTAAAAGTGGACAGGGTAGCAGCTAACCAGACATACTGGGGCACTGAGTTCCAAAGGATTGGAGAGGCTTTTGAGAAGTCCTGGAAGCAAGCGTGGGAGGGGGTAACAAGGGAACTGGAGAGCAGGAGGCCTTGAGAGAAGCAGAGAGGACGGTTTTGGTGATATCTGCAGATGAGGTTGATGTAGCTGGGGGTGATGTTGTGGATGGCCTTGTATGTTGTGGTTAGTATTTTGAATTTTACATGTTGAGCTAGTAGAAGCCAATGAAGAGATTGGCAGAGAGTGACAGCAGTCACGGATTAGTTAGTAAGGTGTATAAGTCTAGCAGCAGCATTCATAATAGACTGAAGGAGGATAGCCTGTGTAGGAGTAGGCCAGTGAGGAGAACGTTTCAGTAGTCAAGGAAAATAACCAAGGAGTGAATAAGTTGTTTTGTGGTGTCTCTAGTCAGCAAGGGGCAAATTCTGGAAATGTTGCAGAGGCTGAGGTGGCAAGAGTTAGCCAGTGATTGGATGTGGGGGCTGAAGGAGAGGTCAGAGTCTAGGATTACACCATGCATCCTGGCATGTGTGGAAGGACCGATGGTTGTGCCATTGATCTCAATGGTAAAGTCACGGGGAGGTGATAGGGGAGGAGGAAATATTATAGGCTCAGTTTTAGAAAGATTGAGTTTGAGGAAGGGGTGTGACATCCATACTGATATGTCGCTCAGTAAATTTTTGATAAGTAAGGAGATTGATGGGGTGAGTTGAGGAGTTGAGGAGATAGATCTGGGTGTTGTCAGTATAGAGGTGGCATTGGAAGCCATGAGAGGTTATCAACTGGCCCAGGGAAGAGGTATATAGAGAGAGAAGAGAAGGGGCCCAAGGACAGAGTCTTGGGGTACTCCAACAGAAAGAGGAAGAGGAGCGTAGGAGATGGTATTGTATGTGACACTAAAAGTGCTCTGAGATAGATAGAAATAGAACCAGGAAAGAGCAGAGTCATGGAGGCCAAGGAAGTGGAGTTTGTTGAGGAGGAGTGGGTGGTCAACTGTGTCAAAGGCAGTAGAAAGGTCTAAGAAACTATTCTAAAGGATTCAATATTTTCAGACTCAACGGAATAAATAATGAAAAATTTGGTGGCCCCAAATTTTTCAAACCTAAGAATTGCATTAGGCTGTGGAAATGAACTGACTGGCTGTGGCAATTACAAATCCAATTTCAATCACAAATTTGCTCAAATCTGAATTTTCAAACTAATTTGAAAAGTTAATCTATTTTCCCATGGGCCTAAACTACTACTGCATCATGTGACATCATCGGAATGAAACAAATGCATTTGTTAATTTTGTTATACCCCTTTTTTTTTTTATTTATTGACATTCGTTACTATGTCCATTTGGAGACGCCTATCCATCTGAGTCTCTGAAAATGAAATTTTTGTATGAAAAAAATAGAATTGAAACAAACCGTACATGTTTAGGATTAAATGGATTGATCAGTGTCTTGCTGTGCATAGATGTGTTACATGTAGCATTTTACTGAGAGGTAATGTAACTTTCAGAAAGTTCTCAATTTACATCCAGTAAGTGAAAGCAGCACACTTCTTTATTCCAGCCCTTCTCAACCAGGGTGCCCAGGCACTGTAGGGTGCCTTGAGGTTTCTTCAGGGGTGCCTTCAGGTTTCTTCAGGGGTGCCTTGGCAAAATGTCTACAAATTGTCCAAAACTTGTATACAAGCCAGCGGATAGAACAAACCTGCCTTTTAGTTACACAAAGCCACAGGTTTTCACTGTGCACCATTATGACCTACTAGCCTCTAGCATCCTGACAACCAATGCCATCATCAGTTGATAAGGAGGATGTCAGCTGCCTGCACAGCATCCTAGTTTGACCCTCCCTTGCTCCTCACCATCAGTGCTGGGGTCTCATTAGCTCAGTGATGGAACTGAGGGAGAAGAGAAACACTGGAATACTAGTCAGTACCAGTGTGCAGAGGTGTATAAATCTCCTCTAATGTTGGGTGTCCTACATGTGTGGGTGTTGCTGCGTTATATAAAACTATTAGAGTAGTTTTTCACATTTTAGAATGGGGTGCCTCAAGACTGTCCATAGTTTTAAAGAGTGCCTCAGGACTGTCCATAATTTTAAAGGGTGCCTTGGGACTGTCCATAATTTTAAAGGGTGCCTCAAGACTGCCCATAATTTTAAAGAGTGCCTCAGGACTGGCCATAATTTTAAAGAGTGCCTCAAGACTGGCCATAATTTTAAAGAGTGCCTCAAGACTGTCCATAATTTTAAAGAGTGCCTCAAGACTGTCCATAATTTTAAAGAGTGCCTCAGGACTGGCCATAATTTTAAAGAGTGCCTCAAGACTGTTCATAATTTTAAAGAGTGCCTCAGGACTGTCCATAATTTTAAAGAGTGCCTCAGGACTGTCCATAATTTTAAAGAGTGCCTCAAGACTGTCCATAATTTTAAAGGGTGCCTCAAGACTGTCCATAATTTTAAAGAGTGCCTCAGGACTGTCCATAATTTTAAAGAGTGCCTCAGGACTGTTCATAATTTTAAAGAGTGCCTCAAGACCGTCCATAATTTTAAAGAGTGCCTCAGGACTGTCCATAATTTTAAAGAGTGCCTCAAAACTGTCCATAATTTTAAAGAGTGCCTCAAGACTGTCCATAATTTTAAAGAGTGCCTCAAGACTGTCCATAATTTTAAAGAGTGCCTCAGGACTGGCCATAATTTTAAAGAGTGCCTCAGGACTGGCCATAATTTTAAAGAGTGCCTCAGGACTGGCCATAATTTTAAAGAGTGCCTCAAGACTGTCCATAATTTTAAAGAGTGCCTCATGACTGGCCATAATTTTAAAGAGTGCCTCAGGACTGGCCATAATTTTAAAGAGTGCCTCAAGACTGTCCATAATTTTAAAGAGTGCCTCAGGACTGTCCATAATTTTAAAGAGTGCCTCAGGACTGTCCATAATTTTAAAGAGTGCCTCAAGACTGGCCATAATTTTAAAGGGTGCCTTGACTGAAAAAAGGTTGAGAAACACTGCATTATACCCAAGAACTGCTGTATTCAAGGCTCATCTATCTATCTATCTATCTATCTATCTATCCATTCAGTCGTATCCGACCCTTGGCGATGGCATGAGCCGTCACTCGTAAGCAACTTTTATTCAAGGCTCATATCAAACCAAAATTATATTTACACAATGGGGTTGATTTACTAAAACTGGAGAGTGCAAAATCTTTTACAACTCTGTATAGAAACCAAACAGCTTCCAGGTTTTACTGGCAAAGCTTAATTGAAAAAGCTGAAATTAGAAGCTGATTGGCTGCCAGGCTTAGCTGCACCTGGTTTTGTACTCTCCAGTTTTAGTAAATCAACCCCAATGTACACTAGTTGCATTAAAAAAATGCATGCTGTATCATATCTGAAAATTACTTTACAGATTTAAATTTGAAATACAAACTATCACCTTATCATAAACAATTGTAGAAATAGAACGTTCCTGTTTTTCTGCCCGTGACAGTTATTTTCTACACTTTCTGGTGACTCAAGACATAACCACAGTTGCTGTTTGATAGGAGGTAGATTACCCTCATGAGTATTGTTAACACTGACATATTGTTTATATTGCTTAAATATTTTCAATATAGATTGAAAGATGGGTTTGATTTTGCGGTGTGAGTAAAAATATGTGTGTCCCGGAGCTTATTTTCAAAACCTGATCACTTAAATCTACACACCTAGAAAATGTTCAGAAAACAGCAAGGGAAAAGGGGTGGATCTGCAGTTCTTTTTCTTCTTTTTTTACGTTGCATTTACTCTTTGGTTATCTGCCAGTTTTTTTTTACACAGCTTAGCCCCTTTAATGGTCTTATATATATATATATATGTGACTTGCGAGCCAAACCTACTAAATTATTTTAATGGATCGCCAACATTAAACACATAACTTCAACTGTGCAAATTAAATAATATACCTCTGAATGTACTGCTCCTTATTACCAAAACACCAAAATAATATATCCCTCCTTTGATATACCACACCATAAAAAAATCAATAATAACTGGTGACAGTGTTATATAATCAAAATATATGTGCCATAAAATCAATTTGAAATTTTTTATATAAATAATATTAGTCCCATCAATCCAAAGTAGTCCAATATTAGTGATAAGGTTTAATGATCACCTTATCACTAATATTGGACTACTTTGGATTGATGGGACTAATATTATTTATATAAAAAATTTCAAATTGATTTTATGGCACAATATTTTGATTATATAACACTGTCACCAGTAATTATTGATTTTTTATGGTGTGGTATATCAAAGGAGGGATATATTATTTTGGTATTTTGGTAATAAGGAGCGCTACATTCAGAGGTATACCCTTTAAGGGTCTACTATGGATTTTGGGGCAGAAGAGAACAAGAAGGCACTTCCAAGTGCAGTACATCCACATATTTATTGGTGAAAACAACAGTTAAAACCAATTACAGAAGATGATAAGGCTCAGGCTTATGAAAACATCAATGCAGGGCTCCTGTCACCGTGTTGTGGAGCTCATCGTGCTGGCCAGCAGCAGCAGGGGGGAGCTCAGGAACAATTCCAAGATGGCCACCACTCTTTTTCTGGGCAGCCGTGGAATGCGTGCCCTGGATTGATGTTTCATATGCCTGATTCTTTTTACCTTCTGTAAGTGGTTTTAACTGTTTTCACCAACAAATATGTGGATGTACTGCACTTAGAAGTGCCTTTTTTGTTCTCTTCTGTCCTGCCCAGAGTCTGATTCTACTCCTGGAAGTGCTGCTCTAGTGCCTATTCCCACTGTCTCCATCCATTGGTCTCCGAGGCAGATGCGCCCTAAGAACTCCTCTTCTCTTATGGATTTTGGGAGACCTTTAGAGGGGTCTGTGTGCTGTTTTTTTGTAAATGTCAAGAACAAACAAAATGAATGGATGAAGTTTCCCAGGAAATCCATACCAGTCCTTATGGATTTTAAGAAGGATCTCTGTGCCAAAAAAGAAAAAAAGTAGGAGGTCCCTCTAAAAATTCATAGCAGACCCCGAAAATCTGAGCAATTAGCCTGGCTAGCCAGGAAAGAGGGGGGCAAGTGTGCAGCTCTCTCCTCCTGAACCATACTAGGCCATATGCCCTCAACATGGGGGGTGTCTTGACAGGGGTACCCCCCTGGCAAAATACCATTTGCCCATGTTGATAAGATGGACAAGGGCCTCTTTTTCCCACAACCCTGGTGGTCTTAATTTAATCTGGAAGGCACCTTTAATAATGAGGGGGGACCCAAATACCACCCCCTACATTAATGAATATTGGGTACTTAATGATCCTATTTATTCACAGAAAAGAAAAAAGGTCAACTAGAAATAAAGACACCCAAAGTCCTGTATTAAAAATATATCATATCATATATCATAAAGTCCGTTATCAGAAGACTTGAAAAAGAAACCCGATTCCACCTCAATTTGTATTGCAGTTTAAAACTCATCGCCCGTCTGTGAAACGGGAGGCTACGTGCAGTGTCTATGTTTGGACTGTGATCCGTAGTTGTATATGCATTGATTTGCCTTTCTTTTTCTAATAAAAGTATTTTTTTGGAAAAAAAAAGAAGAAACTCGATGACCTGTCGTGCACATCTGATCCTGATGCTACACCTTGCCGAATGACAGCTCCCCACAGCTGTCATCAGCTATATATAGGAAGATGCAGGGATAGTGGTGACATCATTGCCCAAACATGGCCACGTGGCAATGATGTAATCCCCTCTGGGGATTCCTAGCCATGTAAGTGATGGGCTGGTGTTATCAGGGGTTTTAAAGACATGGCAGGTGCAGCACCAGGGGTGGACTGACCATTTGGAAACTCGGGCACTGCCCGAGGGCCCGGGGTCAGTAGGGGGCCCCATGAGATGCCCCTGGTACCTTTTTCATAGGCTTTTTTGAGTTTGGGTAAGGATACAGGGGCCCCATGATCCCCTATTGCCCGGGGGCCCCATGAGTTGTCAGTCCGCCCCTGTGCAGCACCCATTGCTTAACCGCTTCCTGTCCGCCCTATAGCAGAAGTACTGCTACAGGGTGGCACAAGTGCACAAAATCATGTATATATATATATATATATATATATATACAGTCATGGCCGAAATTGTTGGCACCCTTGATATTTCTCCAGGAAATCATGTATTTCTCACGAAACGTATTGCATTAACACATGTTTTGCTATACACATGTTTATTCCCTTTGTGTGTATTGGGACAAAACAAAAAAAGGGAGGAAAGAAAGCAAATTCGACATAATGTCACACAAACCTCCAAAAATGGGCTGGACAAAAGTATTGGCACCCTTTCACAACTGCGGATAAATAAGAATGTTACAAGCATGTGATGCTCCTGTAAACTCACCTGGGGCAAGTAACAGGTGTGGGCAATATAGAAATCACACCTGAAAGCAGATAAAAAGGAGAGACGTTCACTTAACCTTTGCATTGTGTGTCTGTCTGTGCCACACTAAGCATGGACAACAGAAAGAGGAGACGAGAACTGTCTGAGGACCTGAGAACCAAAATTGTGGCAAAATATCAACAATCTCAAGGTTACAAGTCCATCTCCAGAGAACTAGATTTGCCTTTGTCCACAGTGCGCAACATTATCAAGAAGTTTGCAACCCATGGCACTGTAGCTAATCTCCCTGGTCGTGGACGGATGAGGAAAATTGATGAAAGATTGCAACGCAGAATAGTCCGGATGGTGGATAAGCAGCCCCAAACATGTTCCAAAGACATTCAAGCTGTCCTGCAGGCTCAGGGAGCATCAGTGTCAGCGCGAACTATCCGTCGACATTTAAATGAAATGAAACGCTATGGCAGGAGACCCAGGAGGACCCCACTGCTGACACAGAGACATAAAAAAGCAAGACTACAGTTTGCCAAAATGTACTTGAGTAAGCCAAAAGCCTTCTGGGAAAACGTCTTGTGGACAGATGAGACCAAGATAGAGCTTTTCGGTAAAGCACATCATTCTACTGTTTACCGAAAACGGAATGAGGCCTACAAAGAACAAAACACAGTACCTACGGTAAAATATGGTGGAGGTTCAATGATGTTTTGGGGTTGTTTTTGCTGCCTCTGGCACTGGGTGCCTTGACTGTGTGCAAGGCATCATGAAATCTGAGGATTACCAAAGGATTTTGGGTCGCACTGTAGGGCCCAGTGTCAGAAAGCTGGGTTTGCGTCCAAGATCCTGGGTCTTCCAGCAGGACAATGACCCCAAACATACGTCAAAAAGCACTCAGAAATGGATGGCAAAGAAGCGCTGGAGAGTTCTGAAGTGGCCAGCAATGAGCCCAGATCTAAATCCCATTGAACACCTGTGGAGAGATCTTAAAATTGCTGTTGGGAAAAGGTGTCCTTCCAATAAGAGAGACCTGGAGCTGTTTGCAAAGGAAGAGTGGTCCAAAATTCCGGGTGAGAGGTGTCAGAAGCTTATTGATGGTTATAGGAAGCGACTGATTTCAGTTATGTTTTCCAAAGGGTGTGCAACCAAATATTAAGTTAAGGGTGCCAATACTTTTGTC